GGTTTCAGGATTGTTGATTCTCTGTTTGGCTTAGTTTTTCGGATCTTTGTTGTGGAGGGACGGCGTGGTGCTTCTGCCTAGACCGCCATCTTGCCGGAGACTCTACATCTTCAGTTTTTAATGGTGAATGTCTCATAATTTAGTCATGGTTCCATTGCTAGTTATTGGTAATTTTCTATTGAAATTAGAAAAATTGATAGGTTAATGAGGATTATGCTTTTCTCATATTTCAGCCGTATAAATTTGGCAATTTGGTTTGTTATTCAACTATTCTGATACTTCAAGCATTTTATGTAACCTTGTTTATATGCTTTATTGTATATGTTATTGTTACATGTTCTTGGTTATATCAGCCCTTTAATAAGATTTTTATGAGTATGAAAATGAATGACATGCACTGCCAATACCTATCAAATATATAGTCTTTTCTTTTTTTCTTGCTAAAAAGACCCTGATTTCTTCTTCAGGGCAGCATTGTGCCTTGCTGGAAAAAAAAAATATTTGCCAGGCTTCTTTGCCACTGTGAGTGGGCAGGTGACATTGTTCTGCCTGGTGAGGTTTAAGTGGAACAGTCACTGCTAAAGAAGGCAGATGTATTTGGCAGACACCTTTTGTCCTTTGTCCTCCCTTTATCCTACCTGGGACTTGGGAAGGAAACTGAAGGAGCAAACCATGGGGTGACAAACATAACGATGAATGTCACTAAGGATGTCTGCGTGGGAAGAGAGGCGCTTGGGTCCCTGACACCTTGCGGGATATCCATATCAGGTCTGGACTGCCTACCCCCAGGCTCCTTGTGTTAGAAACAGCAAAACAAAACACTCTTGTTTGTTGAAACTACCTTTTAGTTAGGAGTTTGTTACATGTAGCTAAATATTAGGACTTTGTTACGTGTAGCTAAATATAATTTCTGATACAGATAGTTTCTGTAAAAGATATTTGGAGTAGTTTTGTCTCAAACCTAACTTGCAAAAAAAAAAAAAAAACTCAAGCATGTTTTGAAAGGCACTTTTTGCTGTTCTGACGTCGACATATCTATATGCAGAATATTTTTAAGTTTTCTGCTTTGCAGTAATTTCAGATTTCAAGAAAAGTTGCAAGGTTAATACAAAGAACTTCCATACCTTTTTTTTTCCCTCTGAACCATTTGAGAAGTTGCGTACATCATGCCTCTTTACCCCTAAATACTTTAGTGTGTATGTCCTAAGGATAAAGATAGTATCTTACATCACTATAGTGTAATTATCAAATTCAGAGAATTTAATATTAATATAATATTTTTATCTACTAAGCAGTACGTATTCTTATTTCTCCAATTGTCCCAGTAAATATTACAGATCATTTTTTCCCTTTCTAGTATAGGACAATCCAGTCTCACACATTATATTTGGTTACCGTGTCTCTTTAGTCTCCCTTAATCCAGAACACTTCCTCAGCCTTTGTCTTTCATAATATTGCCACTTTTGAAGATAACAGAATAGTTATTCGGTAAAATGTTCCTTTTAGCTTGTCTTCCTCAAGGTTAGATTCAGGTTATGCATTTTTTGGTAGGGATACAGCTGAGGTGATATTGTGTCCTTAGTGCGTTATATCAGGAGGCATACAATGTCGTTTTGTGCCATTATTGGTAATACTAACTCTGATCACTTGGTTAAGGTGGTGTCTGCCAGGTTTCTCCACTCTAGAGTTACTTTCTCTCCCTATTTAATTGATAGGAATAGAATTTGAGACTATGTAAAGATCTCGTTCCTCGTCAGACTTTCTCCCAATAATTTTAGCATCCATTGGTGATTCTTTACTGTGTTGATTATTACTAAGATGAGGGTGAAACATCTTTAAGAAATATTTCAGCAGGTCCTAATTTATTCTAGTGACTAGGCTTGTTTTCCATATATCCAGTGAGCTTCATTTCATAGTGCTATCTTAAAGTTTTGGGGAATTTGTTTTAAGAAAAACAGATACATAGGGAGGAACATGATCCTTACTTAGGGACGTGCAGGGAAAGGTTTGATGCTAGAATCCTATCCCTCTACTTCTTTTTCCCTGTAGAGTTCTGACCACTAGAGCATAAACAGATTTGAAACCAGTAGGGGCACATGATCAGTTCTCTTTTATAAAGCTAGATTGGAGAATGGGATGATCGTCTTACTCCTTGAATAGATCTTGGCATCCTCACGGTGCAGTATATCTACCCAAAGTGTAGCCTGCCAAAAAGCAAGTCTTTTGCAAGCACCCCAGGTGCCTGGATGCTGGTCTGCCCTAGGGCTGGGGAGATATTACCAGAGTCGCCTGGATTTCTTTCAGTCAGTGGTCCCAAACCCATCTGTTTAAAGCATTAAACAGATTTGAACAGATAATCTGTTTTCTATCGTTCTTCTCAGTCTTAATCAGTCCTTTTCTTGTTAGGAGGCATAAATGAGCAGGTAGAGAGTGGGGCTGCAAACTGTTACTCCGGTAAGACATCCTCTAATGTAAAAGTCCCCTTTTGGAAACCTGAGAATGAAGTGAAAGCTTCCCACTACTGGTTCCTTCTTCCTAAAGGAATGACGTTTGTTCAGTCTATCTCAAATTTTGTGTGTGTGTGTATGTTTCTTTTTACTCTAGTTTTAATTTGATTGTGTTTTCTGTTTTTTTTTTTAACCAAAGGTCTTTTTTTTTTTCTCATTGTATATTTTCAGAGTTCGGAGCGTAATGATTTTTTTTCTTTTCCCTTCCTCTAGCACCAGCAGACGTTTTTGAATCAATTGAGAGAAATTACTGGGATTAATGACACCCAGATACTACAGCAAGCTTTGAAGGTATGGCCTTTGTTTTATGACATACAGTTTGTGGTTTATCTACCATATTTGAGAGTTGAATATTCTAGTTATGCCATGTGACAGTAGAGATACAGGAATGCCCTTTTGTAAAGTAAGAGCCTCACTTAATTTTGAGCACATTAGTTTTTAGCAACCTATTTTAGCAACCTATTTTTTCTAGAAATAATGTGTTTATCCTTTAGATGATGACAATCACACTGATCATAATCATGATAGTAATAGGTAGCACATATTAAGCACTTATAGTACCAAGCACTATTCTGAGTACTTTATGTGGGTTAACTTATCCTCATGATAACCCTATGAGATAGACATTATTTCCTTCCTTTCTTTAAAGATGAAGAAACAGAGAGGTTAAAGTAACTCCTTCAAGATCACACAGCTAGTATGTGGAAGAGTTTGGAATGGAAACCAAGCCAGTCTGATCCCAGAGTTACACTCTTAATCACTGTTTCTTTTATTGGAAGCTTTGCTTCAGCTTACTTCCCCATCAAGAAAATGATGAAATATACTGTTTAAAGCGTTAATGTGGGGGTGTAGGAAGCCACTTAAGTACTTTGAGAACAAGCAAAAGTGTTGCTCCTCAATTTTTATGATCATTACATTAGATGAAAAGCTGTTGTTTTCATTATTCTGATATATATCATGACTCAGTCACTCCACTTCTAGTTTTGGAAAGTCCCATTCCCATTTTATATCACAGAGTGAGATTACAGCCAATCACCTTGTGAGGGCAAATTTTGGGAAATCACTTTTTTTTTTTTTTTTAACTTGGGTAAGTATAGCTCAAGTCAGTCTTTGTTCACATTTCCTTATAGGTAAGTTAATGGGAACTGAATAAATTTTTTTTTTTTCCTTTTGTTCCAGTTAGTCTCAGCGGTGGGGAAACCGTTGTGTTCGAACCTTAAATTTTACCCACCATACATTTGTAAGATGTTAATGATGAGTTGACACCCTCATTAGTATGGTAATAAGGAGTCTACTTTTGGTAGTCAAAATGTCAAATACTGATTTTACCACTTTTATTTTGAGAACCTTTTTTTAGCCCCCTTAAGTAAATGACCTTCTTTTTTTTTTGGCTTTAAAGAACAGGAATTTTTTTTTTTTTTTTTAATTGTACTTTCGATGAAGGTTTACAGAACAAACTAGCTTCTCATTAAACAGTACACATATTGTTTTATGACATTGGTCAACAACCCCACGACATGTCAACACTCTCACTTCTTGGCCTTTGGTTCCCCATTACCAGCTTTCCTGTCCCCTTCTGCTTTCTGTTCTTTTTCCCTAGGCTGGTGTGCTCCTTTAGCCTTGTTTTGTTTTATGGGCCTGTCAAATCTTTGGATGAAAAGTGAACCTCCGGAGTGACTTCATTACAGAGCTAAAAAGGTGTCCGGGGAACATACTCTCGGGGTTTTTCCAGTCTCTGTCAGGCCAGTAAGTCTGGTCTTTTCTTGTGATTTAAAATTTTGTTCTACATTTTTCTTCAGCTCTGTCTGGGACCCTCTATTGTGATTCCTGTCAGGGCAGTCAGTGGTGGTAGCTGGGCACCATCTAGTTGTACTGGCCTCAGTCTGGTGGAGGCTGTGGTAGTTGTGGTTCATTAGGCCTGTGGGCTAATCTTTCCCTTGTGTCTTTAGTTTTCTTCATTCTCCCTTGTTCCCGAAGTGACCTTCCATTTCTGTAAATTCTTCTTGTATTCAGTTTATTATTATATGAGATATTATTTGGAAAGCACATAGCAAATGCTTAATGAATGTTAGCCATTGTTGTTGTAAATTATTTTAACATAAGCAGATTTTGGATGAGTCATTCACTAATCTTATAATGGTTGTGACAGATAATATACTTTAAAACAGTGATGCTTTTCAAACTTCACTCTTATTTTTCTCTCCTCACTGGCTAGTTAGAATTGAAATTGGAGAAGGTTGAGAACTTTATTCTTCCAGTTGCTCAGGCCCCAAATCTTGGAATCATCCTTAACCCTTCTTGTATCACATCTCACAATTAATGTGATAGCAAATACTATGCAGTCTTTGCTTCTGCCTTTTCTCCCCTGTCTATTCTCAACACGTAGCCCAGGGTGATCCTTTTATAATGTAAATCATACCATGTCATTCTTGTTCAAAACTCTTCACTGGCTTCCTGTTATACTCTGCATGTATGCTGAAGTTCTTAGGGCCTACCAAACCTTACATGTTCTGGATTTCTGTTACAAAGATAACTTCATTATTAATATCTGGATTTTCTATGTTGTTTCCGTTAGCCGTCTTAGAGCTATATTTTACTTATTGTCAACTGTACAGAGAATATAAATATATAACTGGGCAAGTTCCTTCTCATTATTTTTGCTGTTTCAGAAACTCTTGGTTATTCTAACATCAGCTTTCTTCTGTATGAACTTTAGAATTATTTTGTCCAGATACGCTTTGGGTGAGAACTATATAAAATTTCTATGTTTAATTTGGGTAGAATTGTCATCTTGAACAGTATCGAGTATTCCTGTATTTGAGCTTTTTGTGTCTCGCCATTTACTATCAAGCTTTGGTATAGTTTTGCTGTTTTCTTCATATGAATTCTTGACATTTTGCTTATTACATTTGACACAATGTATGTATTCAACACCCATAATAAAGGCAGTTTCTTTTATTGTCCTTGTTTGCAGAAGTACTATTTTAAGGATCAATTTTGTGCTCTTTTATATGGTTAGTTGCGGAAGACATTTTTTAGTTTAGTCATTTGCTTAAAAGTTTAAGTTTGTTATTGATTTTTGTTAAGCAAATCTGAAAACAATGGAAAGCTAACAAATTAGTTGTAAAATTGATTCTTATATTTGATAAGTAGTTTTAATTCATAGAATAAGGAATTAATATTTCTTTGGTATACTTTGTATAAGATGAGTTGTCACTGTAAATTTAGAATCTGAAAGTGATTTTTTGCTATTAATATTTTGGAGAAAATTGCAGAAGTCATGTGAGAACATATAGAGTTATTCCAAAATATTTGATGTTCCTGTCTTCATATTTGAAGGACAGTAATGGAAACTTGGAACTAGCAGTGGCTTTTCTTACTGCAAAGAATGCTAAGACCCCTCAGCAGGAGGAGACAATTTACTATCAAACAGCTCTTCCTGGAAATGATCGATACATCAGTGTGGGAAGCCAAGCAGATGCAAGTAAGTTTTCTTCTTTTTCTCAATATTTTCCTAAAGCATAATGAAAATATTTCCTTAGGAATGTGTTAATTTTGCATAATAAGCACAGGTGGAGGACAAAATCTTGGTTGATCTTGGTGTTTTTTTTAGTGTAGTTGAAAGGAGCATATATTTTATCAGCTACATTGTATTTTTTCCCAGATTAGAAGTAAAAGATTGTATTTAAGCGATAGATCCTTTCATAGAGTATGTCACGTAGTATTCATTGATTTGAAATATGGAATAGTTAAAGGTCTCATTTATAAAAATGAAACAAATTCCTAGAATTTCAGTGGGCACAGTCATTTGTTTTGCAGGTTTTATGTAAAAGTGGAGGACTTAATATTATTTTTGAAGGGAAAGTATTGTTTCTCATTACTGATAGGTTTACCGTTTAAGATTTTCCCTCCTTCTCCCCACTCCCCACAAATAAATAAATAAATAAAGACTTTGGGAAAAGGTTTACCATGTAACAAGTTCCCCTTGTCCTCAATAAAATAAATTTGGAAAAGGTATTTTGGGAAAGGTATATGAAAAGTTTTACATTGGACTCTTAATTTTTCTCCATAAATATCTTGCGCTTATATAGCACTCAGAGTTTTTCAAAATATGTTGTTACCTCCATATCTCATTATGGTTTAATAACTGTACTATGTAAAAATGTGCTATTACTACCAATATCAATTGCCATTGAGTCAGTTCTGACTCATGGTGACCCTGTGTGTGTCAGAGTAGAACTGTGCTCCCTATAAAAATGCAGTATTTATTTTTATACATTATGGATTTGGGAAGTTTGATAACAAAAGGATATTTGAAGAAAATTTCAGATTTTTTTTTGTAGACCATCTCAAATTAGGCAACCAGGAAGAAAGAGTCCGTTCTCATAGATATTTGCAGCTATTGATTGGTGTTAAATACCGCTTAATGTTTGTCTGTTGATACATGATTTTAATTTCCAGTTTTTAGGATGATCATGATAATTTTGATTCACAAATGGCCTTGTATCATCTAAAGCTGGAATACACCTTCCTCACATACGTAATAGGTGATGGGAGACATTTTATATATTTAAGGCAGACCCAGTTGATTATATCCAAGTTCAAGGCAGACTGACTTGACACCTCTATCTGTGTCTCTAGCTTCATTTCCCACTGGTTTTCTCCTCCCAGTTTATACTGTGTTAAAGCAAAATGGCTTAATGTTCTTATACACCCAGTGCTGTTTTATTTCTCTTTGTCTTTACAATTGCTGTTCCTACTGTCTGGAATTCCCTTCTAGATTTTTTCCCCCAGCCTAATTTCTTCTGGTGTTATAAAGTTCAGGTCAGGAGTTGCTTGCTCTAGAATATTTTCCCTGAGTGTGTAGGTTGAACCAAGTGCTTGTACAGCACCCCAAACAGACTATCTTAATGTATCATGCTTTATAATTATTTACTTGTGCCTGTCTTCCTTAACAAACTGGAAGCTTAACAGGGTAAGGGACCATCAACATTCCTACAACTAAATGTAAACAGTGCTTGGCACATCGTAGGTGCTCGAAAGTATTTGTTGAATTTTTTTTTGATAATATGTGTAGAAAAGCTGCTTCAAAACCAGTGGAAGGGAAAGAGATTAAGAAGCTTGTTGCAAAAAGTTGGAAAAAAAGAGAAATCATATAAAGAGAAATAAATTAGTATTGATGATAACATTTTTCACAGTTCTGAGATGGGGGGAAGAGAAACTAGGTAGAAAAAGGAAAAAATGATTAAACGGAATGCTGCTTGTTACAGTGAAGGAAACAGGAAATTGACTAAACTTGTTTAGTGTTCTAGTTTAAAGAATAAAAGATTTTAGAAAGATAGTTGTGAATTCTTAATATAGATGGTTCACTTTGTGATATGAGATAATGTGTGTGTGTGTGTTTGTATGGGAGAATGAGGGTTTTAAGACTTATAAAGAAAAGAAGATATCTTATCTGCTGTGCGAAAGTGAATAAATATTGCTAAGCCAAATAAATGATAACACCTGTTCATGACTTTTGATAAAGGAATAATGACAGTGTTATAGGGGACAAGAAGAGAAATTTGAATAGGTGCCCTTAGGGAGAAGGCAACCTGGTTTCAGAAGGCTTGTGTTTGCTGATAATTAAGGAAAAAAAAAAAGTTGTGTATGTGTGTTTATATGTATGTAGCTCTTGAAAAATATCCACTTAGTACTTTTATTTTCCACTTAAAAGAAAAATAGGGAAATGGAGTTCTGATTTAATCTCAACTGATTGAGTGTCGTATTGAGCAAATTCCTTGGTGTTGTGGTTTCTTTATGAAATGTGCTATCCTTCTAACCAGGATGCACTATGTTATCTAATTGGGAAAGTGTGTCCCTAAAGTTGATTTGAGATTATTGAGAAACAAACTAGAAGTTTAATGTGGTGATTGTGTTAATAAGATTATTAGTATCAAATTGGAAAAAAATAGCTGATGAGGTAATAATCATACTTTTTCCGTTTAACATATTTGTACCATGTTTTATAAAGTTCTAGGAAATAGAGTTGTCTTTGGGAAATAGTCTTTATTCAGGATTTACCTTTAATAGTGTTGTATCATAATATAGTGTTATGTATTTTAAAACTGAAAAAATAAGAAATCATGTATTCAGCAAGTATTTTGAAAATACACTGTCTTTAAATTACTATTAAATTATTGTTGGGAAGAAATGAAGTCTTTTGTGTATTTTTAATTGTTGATAGTAGTGACAAAATTTACCTTTGGGGGAAAAAGAGAATAACTGCCAATGAATATGTATTACAATGCAGGTTTCTTGAAAAACTGTAATTTCTGAAGGAATGTAGAGTAAGAGAATGATCAGAGTGTGAAAAAGTTCTCAAGGAATTGTACATACACAAACCCCCCTTCTTGACCGTTTTCTCAATTTTATGTGAAATGCATTGTTACTTGAAAGTTGATCATATGTACCTTAATTCTTTTAAATATGGCAGGGATTTTTATTTTTGGCCAAAAAAAATTTTTTTCTTCTTTTTTTGAGTATAAAATTTCTTACAGTCAGGGCTAAAGCTTAAACAAAAACTTTTAAGTATGTCACCAGTTGGTTGTAGTGCTGATGGAAAATCTATATTTTGAAATAAAAGTGTTCATTAAATGCTAACTACATACGCTTTTTTGTTGAAATCTTATGGTACGTAACTGTTAACTGTTTATAACTGAGAGTTTCTATTAGAATGAATAAAATACATGTTTTTTTGGTGACTAGAAAAATTTAGTTTTTAAACCAATATCCCCTAGAAGTCATATTTGAGGCTTGTGGAGAAATTTCCATTTATGCCTACCCTGACATATCACAGAATAAAGCAAATTATGTAATTTGATTTAAGAATACTTATATTTGTGAGAGTTCATATAATATTTAAGAAGTAAATATATTTGTTATAGTAGAACAAGGATATGCTTTAGTGCATTTTACATTTCACTTTTGAAGGAAAAAAAATGTTTCAAGGAAAGCTTATAGTTTGCAGAGTAGGGAATTCAAAAGTAGCGAACCTGATTTCCTGTTTTACTTTGGAAATATTCCATACTGTAATTTAATAATCTGTAGTATTCTGGGAAAAGCTCAAGTCATTTGTAATATAAATATAAATATAAAAATTCCAGGTACCTTTTTTCGTTTCTTGGCTCTCTTGTCCAGATGGGATATCATTAATTGTCAAATGATTGCCTCCCAATCCCAGTTTAAATTGGGTATAAAGTTGTTTTGGGGATTTGCAGTCAAAATACTAATGGTAATGGGACTAGGGCACAATGCAAGGTGTTGACGTATCATAGGTATACTTAATCATCAGAGTAGAGAGTCTGTAAAGTTTTTGTGTCATGACAAACTCTGTCATAGACATGACTGTACAAGGCTTTGCCCAATTTGAATTCTAATAGTAATATTCTTTCTCTCATGACCATTAAATTCTTTTGAACTTTCTTAAAACAGGAAAAAAACAGTATATGCCTACCAGAACAAGATGTGCTACAGTTGAGCAATCAAAGTGTGGATCAAAAGATAAGAGGGATTTGGGTAGGTAATTTTAACACAGAAAGTAATGCCACATATTGACTTAAGTTTTAGAGAAATTCGTGTAACAGATTACTGAGTGTTAACTGATAGACGCTTCACAAGTTTATAATCAATATACTTTTTCTGCCCCTCAAAAACTTAAATTACTTGGGAACAATTCCCTAGAAAGTGAGAAAATGTTGAGGTTCTGTCCTAGAACTCTGGTCGTGGTTGTATTGCTTAACCAGACTAATAGTGATTTATACCACAAGTTTTAAACACACCCTAGTCACTGTAGGATTTTATTAATTGAACACCAAGGTTTCACTTTCCCGAGGTTTATTAAGTAAGATAGAAAAAAGTGCAATAAAAGTTAAATCTCTTTTTCTGAAAACATTTTTCTTGCGTAAGACTATTTTGATGACTTACAAAAAATCAAGGTTAAACTTAAAAATGAGATGCTGAAACGGGGTAGAAGTTGTTACTTGTAATTGATTAGATGCAGTTAGCCTTACATTCTGTTAGACATGAACTCTAGAATTACTTCTATAACTTTATGAATTATCTGTACTTTTAGGGCAGAATAATACCGATTGGCCTTTGAACTTTTTTATTTACTAATATAGAATATTAACTTCTAATTTTTCTGTTCCATAATCCAAGTTGAAAAACATAGTGAAATTAATGACAAAAACGTAAGGCTTCCTTATTGTAGCCCTACTTTACTTCCCGAAGCTGCCATTATGATTTTAATAGCTATTATTGAAAACAGAATTAGACCATTTAGAGCTGAGCTGTTTAATAGAGTAGTCACTAGTAACATGGACCTATGTAAATATTAAAAGTAAATAATATTAAAAATTCAGTTCCTTGGGTGTACTTGCAGAACGTTTTAAATGCTCAGTAGTAATCACATGTGACTAGTGGCTTCTGTATGGACAATACAGGTATCATACATTCATATCATCACAGAAAGTTCTATTGGACAACACTTTTAGAGAATCTGAGTTCAGCAGTGAGGAGATTGGAAAAGTAGGAACATCTTAGAGATGACTGAGGGCAGGGGAGAGTGGGAGAGTGGAGTGAGAAACACAGTTTACATTGCTTATATCTTTTTGCTTTTAAGTATTTTAACATGACACTTTTTACACTATTCATCCTTTCGTTTATTAGAAAAAATTTTAAGTAGGATAGAACATATGTTCTCAGGTCTTGAAATTAGTCCCGCTATGAAGATCAGTCACTAACTTTATCTCTATTCCATGGTCTAGATCTTTTTTTTTTTTAATTGTACTTCAGGTGAAGGCTTACAGAACAAATAGTTTCTCATGAAACAGTAGTACACATATTGTTTTATGACATTGGTTAACAACCCCACAACATGTCAACCCTCTCCCTTCTCGACCTTTTTTTTTTTGGTGAAAATATACATAGCCAAAGATACACCATTTCAAAAATTTCTACATGCACAGTTCAGTGACATCAACTACACTCTTCCAGTTGTGCTGCAATTCTCACTTTAGATGAAGCCTTACAGAGCAAAATAGTTTCTCATGTAATAGTACACATGTTGCCTTATGACAATGGTTAACAACCTCACAACACATCAACACTATCCTTACTCAACCTTGGGTTCCCTATCACCATGGTCTAGATCTTGACCTCTATTTGTTTAACAAATATTTATTGATTGCTTAATATGTATCAGATACTTTTTTAAGCCATTAAACAAACAAACAAGTAATCCAGCTTACATGGAGGAAAGAGAGACAATAGACAATAAGCAGTGCTAGATAGTGGTGAGTTCATGACCAATAGAGCAGGTTAGAGGGGCAGAGCGTATGAGGATGCTGTTGTTGGCTGGGTATGAGATATGCTATTTTAGATAGAGTGATCAGGACATGGCTCTTGGATGAGGTCACGTTTGCACAGAACCCTGAGTGGAGTGCAGGAGTGAACCTTGTGGATATTTGAGGGAAATGCATCACAGCCTTGGGCTGTAGTGTTGTTTGGTGAAGAGAGGAATAGGAATAATAAGGACACAGCTGAGGCTGAAGCAGAGTGAATGAGAGCCAGAGTGGTGGTAGTCTCATTTCTGATCTTCTGCTAAATACCTCATATTCATATCTGTTTATTTCTCTTAATGACGTTCCCATCCTTCTTATGGCCCAGTTTTTTTCAGCTCTTCTTAATTTTCCAAAACAATCATTCAGTTTACAGTCCTGTCAGTTCTTGTATGTGGACTTTTTCCTTCAGTTGTTTCTGCCCAGGTACGTATTCTCATTACTTCTTCCCAAACTCTTGTTCAACCCTTAACTCCTAACTCCCAAAACAAATTTCTGCTCGTGTCACTCCCCTGCCCAGATATGTCTGCTAGTGGTAAATATAAAGTTGGCTTATTAAAAGAAACAAGTGTTTCTCTTAGGCTTAGCATTATGTAAGTAAGGAGAAAGACAGAAGAACACTTTTTTTCCTCCAACATAAAAAATCTTTGCATATGGAATTGTATTTTTAACTAGATTATGGGCTAAATAGGCTTTTGTGAACTAATTTGGAAACCATCTCATTTAATACAGTATGTTCATGGGGAAATAAGCTATAAGTTATAAACAATATGTACATTTGAAGTCTAATTTATTGATAAGTTGATGGTTGTATACATTTTGGAGTTAGCAGAGAATGTTTGGTAGTTGGTATTTTACTCAAATGGTATTTATTTGGAAAGGGAGAGCTTTATTAGGGTGAGTTTCATGTTTTGGTGTATATTCTGACCTAACAAGAAAAATGTGTTAATTTGGGTATTCTTGCAAATATTGGCAATTATGCTTCTATGCTTTTGTAACATGATTTTCTGCAAGTGATATCCAACTGAACTTCCACACATACACCATTGAATTGTGTTCACTCTAATACCAGAAGTAGGAGTGGTGGCTAAAACAAAATTTTAAGTGTTTTACCAAGGACCTGCCTTGGCACAGGTGTAAGAGTATTCATAATACTTACGTATTTGGATGGAGCTTTTACAAAGGCATTTTTATAGTTGACTTTTAGCAGTTAGAAATTGTTTACGGCCACACTTTTTCTCTGTTCCTTTTTGAGCGTAAGCGTATGGAAAATCATAGGGGGCTAATTTTCATTCTAAAATTGATAGTTCATTTCATGTTTTAGAGAAATGGTTATTCTGCTTATTCCAGAAAAAGAAAAAAAAAAACCAGATTTAGCCGTTCTATGTGAAATATTTTTCTTCTTAATATCTGGTCTTAAAAGCATTTGTATTTGGTATGTCAGTAGATTATAAAAATGATATTCTCAGGATTGCTGTATTGTTTTAAAATATCCTATGGAAAGACAAAGCTTTACTGAGTAACTCTAACATCATGGAGAAAATGTTATTACAGTGAGACTACAAATAATGAATAAACTATCTCCATGGTTTAAAGGATAAAGTCCCAGCTTTTCAATTAAGGACCAACCTTTCTATCATCAGCCAACCTTCCTACCATTAAGCCCTACTCAGGGGTTGTAGACTCAGATGTCTTCAGCAGAGCTTCCCAGCTGCTTTATAGATGTGCCTGTATAGTGACCCCTCAACTACTGGAGCTGCTAAGTGGGACTGGGGATAACTTGAGTCATTGAGTCTGGTTATTCCACCACTAGCAGTTTTATCCTTTTACTGCAGTGTAAGGTACAATCTTTTTATGTTTGCCATGATACAAGGGCAAGGCAGGCAATACCAATCTGATGGGCCAAGTGTAAGATATTAGGAATTGCTGGGAATGGCAGCAAAAATGGAGAGTGAATATTCTGTCTAAAGGGAGCTACTTCTACTCCACTCTGGCTTTGGTACCATGGTTATTGCCATGGAGGAATCATGTGACCAGATCTTCTAATTTTTTTTTCCCCAAAAGAAGGAAGAAATCTCTGTTATATTACATAAAATCTCCTGATCTTTGTATGTTGTGAATTATTTTGTATTTTTTTTATCATGTTGTAAAAGTCAATGAAAACCATCTTCAGTTATTATTTGTTTTATTAATTAAACATTCAGATCTGAGAGCATGGCATAGTGATTCTTTACTGTTTGGTTTCAGGATCCCTTTATACTCTTAAAAATTGAGGACCTCAAAGAGCTTTTGTTTGAATTATTTTTATTGATATTTACTATATTTGAAGTTGGAGCCCTAATGGCTCAGTGGTTAAAGAACTTGGCTGCTAACCAAAAGGTCAGCTGTTTGAATCTACCAGCTGCTCCTTGGAAACCCTATGGGGCAGTTCTGCTCTGTCCTATAGGGTAGCTCTGAGTTGGAATCGACTTTGACAGCAGTGGGTTTGAGAAAAATTTAAAATATATGTAATTCATATTAAAATAACAGTCCTTTACATGTTAACATAAATAACATACTTTTATGGAAAAAACAAACTGTATTTTCCCAAACAAAATTAAATTATTGAGAAGCATACATTATTTTACATTGTTGCAAATTTCTGACATTCACTATAATAGGAGACAACTGGAGTCTCATCTGATTCTGCATTCATTCTCTTGTGATACATGGTTTTGGTTGACATAGATGAAGAAAATCTGGGTTCACACAAATGTATAGGTAATGGATAGTCTTTTTAAATTCTATACTAAAACTTCACGACTAATACTTTCTTAAATATTAGCTGCAGTGTGGACACTGAAATCATTATCAATGACCTTTCCATACTCTTGTTATATTAAAATTCATTAGTCTCTCTTGCCCTTTGAATGGATCTTTTGCCCATGCATTATTTTATGACATTGTGTGCATTGATAACTTGGAAAACATTTTCTTCTCACTGTTGGAACAATATTGAAGAAAAAAAATTGTTAATATTACCACTGATCTCACCATTAAAGCCTGTAAGTACTGAGGAGATACCAAGCTCACGGTGGTTGAAACAAGTTTTCCAGAGTTCTGATTTTTGCTTGAAAGCTTGAAATTGATCATTGGCAATAAATACTCTCATTTGTTTTTCTTAAAATGACAGTCTTATTTTGTTCATTTTTGAGAAAACATCTGACAAGTGCTCAAGTCTGAATAAGCAGTTTGTAAGTTGTAGTTGTTATGTTACATAAAAAAAGTTTGTGTGTCAAACATTGCACTAGTGTTTTTTTCTTTAGACAACCGCATACTTTTATGTGTACTCCCTATTTCACCACATAGAACATAGAAATAAACGAACATGTAAATCAAGATTTGAGATTTAATAAAATTAAATTTTGATTTTTCATTGAGGACATTCTTAAGTGAAATTGACTTTTTTTTAAAATAGTGTACATGATTGTGAGGAATACAATGAATATTCATATAATTTGGTGCCACTGCCTTGACTTGTGCGAATGTGCAGCAGTTTTACCCACTCTTGTTTTAACCATCAGTGCAAGTGTGACCATAGAGCAAAGGGCAAATAACATCTTAATATTATTATGAGAATATTCTTTTCCTTCCTGGACCTCCCCTCCCCAAACGGCTGTGGGGATCCCCAAAATCCATGGACCACACTTTGAAAATGGCTAGAATGGAGAGAAGAACACTGCATTTAAACGGTCAGAAAACCCAAATACCAAACCCATTGCCCTCGAGTCAAATTCCGACTCAAAGCAACCCTAAAGGATGGAGTAGAGCTGCCCCATAGGGTTTCCAAGGCTATAAATCTTTATGGAAACAGACTAATTCATCTTTCTCGCACGAAGAGGCTGAGTCTGAACCACCGGCCTTTCTGTTAGCCAAGCACTTAACCACTGTGCCACCAGAGCGCTGTATTTTTTAAATTTACTGCCTGGCCACCATTCTCAATTCTTATGATGTGTTTCATGTCTCAGAATCTTGGTCATCTCATTTTTAAAAAAGACTTAAAAACATTTCGTTTTTGTTTTTTGCATGGTTGACTTACAGTTGGTAAATTGGGAAAAGTTGTAAGTGTAAGTTGTTGCTCTTTTTAAATGAGTTTCTACTCTAGCCAGTTTGGTTTACTCATCAGTCATAAAACAGTAAACACCCTTGATATTTTCAGAAGAAGGAATTTAATAAAAAGAATTAGAATCTTAAATCACTGGGAGGAATGGAGGAGGAGTTTCTAGCTCAGCCTTCCAGAATCACTCCCAGATTGTTGTGAGACTGACCAGCCAGGGAGCCTACACCCTCTGCCACAATCAGGAAGGTAGTCAATCAGGAAGCTGCCTCTGGGACTACTGAGTTCAAGAACATGTTTCTGTAGCTGCAGCCCAGGGAACAGGAAGCCAGGATTAGGTAACTGCTGTTGAACTGTGCCTGCATGTTAGAGTGCAGAGGTCAGTTGCTACCTTTACTGTAACAATCTCTTGACATCCCTGAATCTGGAGATTGGATACCGAAATGCTTCTGTGGAACAACCTGTGTCTGTTCAGTCATGCTAGAGAATACAGCCATAAGTAGCAGGATAATGGCTTCCGCCTCACTTCTGCCTTCCAGATCTCATGTGACCTCATCCAGCTGGTGGAACCTAAATTTCATCCAGAACCTTAACTGCAAGCGAGTCTGGAAAGTAAATTTTTTTAAACATCTCCCCACCCAGTTTCTTTAGTTGAAGAGAGCACTCTAGGAAGATGAGAGAATGGGGTTCGAGGGCTAATTGATAAAAAGCCTGTTCTTTTGCTTCTCTGTGATTTTCAAACTATTTCTTCTCCTTCCATCATTCTCTTATGAAGTTCTAGCTATCATTTAATGATTAGGGTAGTTCCCAATTTTATGAGGCCATTGCATACCTCTCTAGCCAAGCATTTTCTAAAAAGTTATTTGAGCTAAATTGGATAACTACCCAGGTGACCACCCATTCTCAGCTGTGCTCTGGGTGGACTTGGATCTTGTTGCCAGACTTCTGGAACTCTTGGATTGTTGTTTGTAGGCATGCTGTATCATTTCAGTTACCTTGCTGTAAATCTGTCTACATTTTACTTGATCGAGTATTTTTTGGACTCTACTTATTACATTATGGTAAGTTTCTGTTATACTCTGTAAGTACTTTAAAAACACATGCATATGCCTCCACAGCCTACTGTTGTTTCTGGTATTTTTAATATTCTTCCAGCTACTGTTGTGGAAGAAAACTGTAGATTTTTATAGACTAGATTTTTGAAACTAACAATATACATAATTTGTTTCTCATTAAATTTTAGAATATTTGTTTCGAGTGGCTATGTGTAACCCTACAGCCAGATATTAAAATACAGCTACCTTCTCTACCATTTGCTACCTGTTTTGTTTCTTTCCCTCCTGTAAAATTCTAGGATTAAAAAGAGAAAAAGAAAGAAATCAATTTTAACATATCTAAAATGCAAATAAAATTAAGAGGAAAGCCCCACCCCTATAATTCCACCCCACTCCAAAATAAGATAATAGCAGAAATATTTCTTGCTCTTTTCTCACATAAATTTTAACTTGTTATCCCTCTCCTACTTAACAATATATTATGGTCCCAATTAGTGTTTAAATGATAATGGGAGAGTGTAACATTGGCATTTTATGGGTTAAGGAATTTTGCTAATATATATTGGGAATTGGATTAAAAAGTGGTAATATTTACCAGTATGTACTGGGAATTGGATTACTGAAGGTGGTAATAGTTGTAATCTTTATTCTTTGGAAAAAGAAGCATGAATTCTTGTAGCATAAAGGCTATTTTCTTAGTTGGAGAAGGAACAGTTTTTTTTTTGTATATTTTATTTGTTTTCACCCTAAATAAAAATCTGATTTTAAATTAAAAGGACTGCATGCTTAAATTAAATAATTTAGATGGCACAGCTTGTTTAAAATAGAAAAAAAAAAAAAAAAAGAAGCCCAAAGCCATGATCATCTAGTTGATTCCAACTCCTGGTGACACCATGCATTAAAGAGTTGAACTGTTCTATAAGGTTTTCTTGGCTGTATCTTTATGGAAGTAGATCGTCAGGCCTTTCTTCTGAGGAGCTGCTAGGTGGGCTCAAACTGCCAACCTTTAGGTTAGTAGTTGGGTGCAAACCATTTACACCACAAGGCTAACTTGAAAAAATAGGAAGTGAAAGATCCTTATACCTCCTGATCCCATAACACCCTTCCATCAGTTCCTATATTTAACCACTATAACAGTTTGGCACATTTGTCTAGACTTTAAAAAAATGCATATATATATATACCTGTGGTTAATTAGTTTCTGAAACAATTCCAAGGACTCAGTTATTAGTTATTACGATTTGGTAAATAATGTCTAGGTAGTATCATGGGCAAACTATAATGTTAATATCTTCAAAGGATAGTTGTTAAACTGATAGGAGTTTTAATTGTGTATTTGGGTTAATTTTAATTTCAAAAAACATAGATGTAAATGTTTAATTATGTTCATTTTAATTTTTGTTGGTAAAGGAAATGTTTCAGCAGTCTGTTATTACCTTTTAATCAGAGACCTCAGTAAATGCTGAGATTCCTTTGCAATGAAAAATAGTTTTGCTATTATTGCTTTTGGTATATTTTATAGAAAAGAAAACTAAGTTATGAAGTATAACCGAGTTGAAATGTGTTTATTTTCATTCTCTTTGGATAGGCTCTTATAAAAGAACTGCAGAATAAAGTTGGTGCTGATTTGGTTTGATAGGGTGTATTGGCATAAAATCTCCATGATAAGAATTACTTTCATTTTGTTTGACCTTGAATTTTGAGAAAGATAGTTTTGCTTTTCAGATGTGATTGATCTCACTGGAGATGATAAAGATGATCTTCAGAGGGCAATTGCCTTGAGTTTGGCGGAATCAAACAGGGCATTCAGGGAGACTGGAATAACTGATGAGGAGCAAGCCATTAGCAGGTAAAAAAAATAACTTGTATAAAGCAGCTATAAGTACCATTTATAACAGAAATTATAATTGGCTTTAATTAACTTTAAGAGGTAATAAGATACACTTTATGAAATTAAATAAACTATTAATATACTTTTGTATTGCTTTTATGTTTTATGTATCCAGAATTTTCATTTTCTAGTTCTTATGTGATCGAAGCTTAGATTTCTAGAATTTGGGAGTGGCATTATGCGGATTAAATTTAGATGTATATTTTAATATTTCTGCAGTTTTTCCCCTCTTACTCCCCTTTTAGATGCACTTTCTAATTCAACTTCCAAACATTAATTAGTTAATTTCTATAAAGGGTCATTGGTAAATATTTTAGGCTTCGCAGACCAGATGGTTTCTGTTGCAACTACTCAACTCTCCTGTTGTAGTATAAAAGCAGCCATAGCCAGTACATAAATGAGTGAACATGGCTGTTTTCCCATAAGAACTTTATAAAAACAGACCTGCTGGAGGGATTTGGTCTCTGGCTGTAGTTTGCTGACCCCTGATCTACAGTATGTTGATAGAGTTTTTTTTTTTTTTTCTTTCCATTTTTTTTTTTTTTAATAGGGTTACAAAATGGGTGATAAAATGTGTTTTGTTTTTTTTTTTTTGATATAATAACAAACTTCAATTTGAAACAATTTGATCTTCCCAAGGATCAAGTAGCTAAATTTGGTTTCATCATTAATCAGTGTTGATTAAAAACAAAAAAACTCTTTAAATTATAGCTGTAATCCTCTAAATAGCTATTTTGAGGCAGTGGTAACTCCATTTTACTGAAGAAGAAATTTAGCTTTCAAGAGGTTAAATGATTTTCCAAAGATAGACAACTACGGTGACTCCAAAATTCTTTTCACTGAAGCACAATTGATTGGTAGCAGAATGTACCAGCTTTCTCAGATAAAGGGTATTTGGACAATATCAGAAGCATATTTTGTTTTAAATAATTTGAGATTTCTGTATGGTAGGGTATATCTCAAATGCTGTATCTAGCAAAGATGGATAGTTTTCTTTTTAATGTCTTTAATGTTTCTTTAGAAATTACTTTGTAAGACATTATATGAAGATGGGAAGACTTAATTAAAATTCATTGTTCCCCTCTTTAATTGTGGCTAATGTCATCTAATACTAGTGACTTTAAATGAAAACCAAAAATGGAGAGGCTTTTTTGGGGCATTTTTATTAGGCTTATTTTTTGCAGGATCTGGAGAAATTATATAAATTACATTTGTCTCTTTAAAATGGAAATAATTATCTCAAATAATTACTAAACTTGATAATGCTTAAAGTTTGATGAGAAATATTTAATAC